TTCTTCTTTCAAGAAGGAAACTTAGAAAAATAAACCAGCATCCTAGATATTTGTTTGTTGCCTCATGCAAGGTAACAGAATCCTGCCCTTTTATATCATAGGGCACTTCTCCATGATCACTCAATAAATATGTACCAAGAATGTAATAAAAGCTGGCATAGTTCCATAGGTGCTGTAGAGGGTACCAAGATGAGCAAGAGGCAGTCTCCTCTACTCTTACACAGTCTTAATTTAGAAAAGAAACTGTGGTCAGTACACATAAATCACTAGAATATGAGGCAGATTATAATTAATACTACAGGGTAAGTACAGCCAGGATGCTGTGGATGATCAAAGAGGACTTGGGCCTTGAAGGCCAGAACGTTGGAGATTCTGTTGGTGCAGGAATGTGTGGAAGGAGTATATGAGGGGGTAGCTGATCAGTTCTTTGGGTGCAAAAGGGATCACGAGGGTAGCTGGTATGATTTCTTTCTCTGAGACTTTCAGAAATCACAGAGTATATTTGGAGAAATGTAGTCTAGGGACAGTTATACTTCCTTTAGGGACAGAATAGCTTCTTTTGGACCAGCACACTTAGCGATCACATTTGCTAACTTCAGACAAAATCTATTAATTATCCAAAATAATTATTCAAAAGGCACTGCTGAACAAAGACATAGAGAAAGTACAGTCAACATTAGGAAGAAGGGATCATACTAGTCAATTTCTCATTTTTTTTCTGGGGGTGGGGGGGCAGGACAAGGTTGAGGGCACATCACATTTGGCCTCAAATGGACATCTAAAATTCTGTAGAAATCAGCAGTGTCTGGCTTGAGGAACCAGAAGGGGAGCCAGTGAGGAACCAAGAAAATCTAGGAGAGGAAAACAATTACAAAGGAATACCCTGAGAGGCTGGGGATATAGCTCCATTGGGAGAGTGATTGCCTTGCATACACAATGCCCTGGGTTCAATCCCCAGCACCACACACACACACACACACACACACACACACACACACAAAGGAATACCCTATCCTGTGAAATATACATGCACAGCTGGGGTAAAAGCAAACAATACCAATAAAAACTGAAAAGAGACTTCAGTGCTGTCCCTCATAGAGGAGACAGAGTTTGGAGTTTGAGACTAACCAAGTAATTAACTGCTAAAATATCAATGACAACAACAAAATCACTATGCTAAGAATCTCAGGTCTTGGGGCTGGAGTCGTGGCTCAGTGGCAGAGCACTTCCCGAGCATATGTGAGGCACTGGGTTCGATTCTTAGCACTACATAAAAATAAACAAATAAAAGTATACTGTCCATCTACAACCACAAAAAAAATTAACAATTAAGTTTACACAGGCATAGTAATATAGGGCCCATTTTCAAGAGAAAAGATAACAGAGACTGCACCTGAGATGACAAAAATGTTGGAATTAAATACAAAGATTTAAAAGTAGATTTTATATCTATGCTCAGATATGTAAAGGAATTCATATTTGTAATGAATAAACAAATAAGACATTTAGCAGAAAATTTGAAGATATAAATAACCAAATGGAAATTCTAAAACTAAAAATTATAAATTCTAGACCTAAAAATTTCAAAATTGACTGTTTTTGCTTACAGATTGTAGGTGATAGGAGACTTAATGAATTTAAGAACAGATCAACAGAAATTATATAGTCTGAAACACTTAGAGAAAAAGGTTGAAAAAATATGAACATAACTTTATGATATAAGAAACTATATCCAAAGGTTTAACACATATCAGTGAAGCCTAGAAGGAAAAGATCTGCCAGAAGAAAAGAATAGGGCAGGAAAATGTTTTAGGAGAAATCATGGCTGAACAATTTTCTAAATGGATGAAAGATATAAATTAACAGATTCTAGAACCTCAGCAAACCCCTAACAGAGACAAAGAAAATGACTCTTGGTCAAATCAGTCGAACTGCTAAAAATCAAAGATAAAGAAAATATCAAAGCAATCTGGAGAACAAAGATGTAATTTGGGATTAACTTCTCTTCAGAAGCAATGGAGGCTAGAAAACAGTGGAATGGCAACTTGAAAGTGCTAAAAGAACCAAACTCTGACGATCAAGGACTCTCAGAGAATATAAGAGTTATGGCTGGGATGTAGATCTTGTGTAAGAGTAGTACATGCTCAAGCAGGATTATGGGTTAAGTAAGTGTGAAAAGGCTTGCAGATGAGGTGGCAGAGATGGGATTAGACCCTCCCTTAGCTAAAAATAATAAATAAAATGAGCTAGTCATTTTTAAACAAATCTGCATTGAATAATCTGGCAAAGATGTACAAGATTAGTACTGCTGCTACTATATATGGAGCTTTTGTGTGCTGTTAGATAAAACTGTCCCTTCAGATGAACATAAAGCTAAAAGGAACAAATCGTGTCTGTCTGTGTGAATGGAAAACAAAGTGCTATTCCTCTAAGTGAATTCTACCCACTTCATCAGGAGATATATATATATATTCGCAAACAGAATGGACTGAATTTAATCCCCTAATTTTCCCTTGCCCAGGCATATAATGCTAGATTTGACAGAATGGGGTGAATATGAGAGAAATATTTAGGACTGGATGAAGAATGGGTTCAGGGTGAGGAAAAACCACCTGTGACTCTGAATTTCAATGACCAGAGTAGTGGCAGGACGCCTACCAGAAATACCAGAGACAAGAGAATGGGGCTTAAAAACTAGGACCAAAAATAAAGATCTGGAAATCATTTATAGAGAGATGTTAGTTTGGAGCCTAAAGGAGCTAATGAAGTCATCTGAACTTAATGTAAGTTATGAGTTAATGAGGTCACCGAAAAAAGGAAGAGATGAGGGTACAGGTAGGGTTGAAAAATGAGTCATCCCAAGAGTCAAGGAAGGAATCAGGGACAAGGTACTGTATGGTTGAGTTAAAGTCATGATAGAAACAATAAAAGTTTCTCACTGTTTTATTGAAGCGTTTCAAAAATAGAAGCAATTTACTAGATTGGTAATATCTTGGGATTCAAATGTTACTTTGTAGGAGGTCTTAATAAAACAATCCACTGATCTTAAGGTTTTTGACAACCTATTTTACTGCTTTTCAACCATAACAATGTGAAAAACTCTGTACATTGTCAATTGTCATACACAGTTACACAGAGATATGAAAATCACTTTACATACCTTTTGTATCATCATTTTCCCCTCTGAACTTTCTGCATCATCTTCCTATCACGTCCTAGTGTAAATTCAAATTGTTAAACGTTCACATCTTTCTGGGCTATTGTAGCTTTTGCAATACTTTTATTTATTTATTTTTAAGACAGGATCTCTCTTTGTTGCCTATCTGATCTCAAACTCCTGGGCCCAACCTGTCCTCCTGCCTTAGCCTTGAAAGCTGAGACAGCTGTGTGCACCACCACCCTGGCACAATACATTTTTTAATCTCCTTCACTGCTTTACTAATACCAGTGATGCTTTGTTTTTCTCAGGCTACTTTTTCCTTCATACCAAATACCTTTCAATTCCATGTTTATGAAATATATTTCTCCTTCCCTTATACTTAACTATTTCCCTGTCTTGAAAACCCACCTTCTCTAGGAATACCACCTCTATGTTTAGTCCACTGCAACTGAGGGATGCTCACAACATACTTTTTAACTGATATTAAAAGAAGTACTGCTAGTTATTATCTCAAGTTCTTACTGACACTTGTTTTCCTGATTCTCTCTTTTCTTTTCTTTTTTTATTGTTAAAATAAGATCATTTATTGATAGAAACAATAAAAATTTCCATATGCAAATTTTGACAATTATATCAATAAACCCCATATAATTTTTTCTAATGCAGTATTTATGGCTCTTTGGTCATAGTTTTTGTGGAATCCTGATTCTCTTTTGCTTCCTGTTTAACTAAAAGCAAATAAATTACTAACGTTTAAAAACAAATAGAAAAGGAATAATCTTAGCATGTTTATATACTTTATCTGATTCCAAAAAGTATTTTAATGTGCATATGCACATATGTATATATAGATATATAATATACACACAAATAGAATTTAACAAATAGATTTTGTAAAAATTAGGGCAAAGAGGAAATAGAGAATAATTAAGTTGAAAGACAGAAAAAGTTAGTATACACAAATTCCTGTTATTAACTACATGGCTCCTAAAATTGAACAATTACATCAACTGCCAGCCTCCTGTCAGCCAAATAGGGGAAAAGATATTTAGTAAGTTAGAAGATAGAAGCAAAGCAGAGGAAGTAAAGATTTTCCTGGTACTTGGATCTTTATAAGGACTTCTGAAAGATACCAGTGGATAATTTCCTCAGCAACATTCCTGCTGTCAATGTAAGTTTGTATTGTACAGATTCTTATTTCAAGCTTGGGGGATAATAACCAAGTGAAGTTCAGTTAAACTCATGCTGTTTCGTCAAAAAGGTGCTTTACAATAATAGATATTTCTCTGAAATATCCAACTTGATCCAGAAAAGGTTTTAAATGTTAGAGCTTGGATAGACTTGTGTTGTTCAGGCCTTTCATTAATGTTTATTGTTTAATAAAATTTGGGCAGTACATAATTCAAGGTTGTCTTTTAGGCAAGAAGATGGAGTGAATAATTCTATCAGTCTTGTTCATAGTTTGAAGGGTTTGGCCCTTTGTGTATCCAGCACAAAGAAGTATTCAACCTTGCTCTGATTCACTTTTTAATATCCTTAGATTATGAATTAGCATTTTTAAATGAGTATTTCCATGATTTGGAAAACAGAAGAATGGGAGGAAAAATAATAACTCTTTGCTGTCCACTTCTTTTCCAACTCTGGGCTATTCAAATATCTAAGCATTCATTTTCTCTCCAAAGGTCTCCCAAAAGGATAGGAAAACAGAAACAACATCAGCAAAATATAAAACACAAGTAACAAAACCTCTGCATTTACCAGACCTTAACATGTTCAGAAGTTATAATTTTCCAGTTTAAAGTTTCTAGCTATTCTAAAGCCATTTTTCTCTCTTTTTCAGTATCCTAAATGTCACCTTTCATGCTGCTTAGCCCTGATTTTCAAGGTAACAATTAGAATTGACTCACCTTACATTTCACATGCACGTACAAGACCCATACCAGAGGGCCTAGAACCTGATCTTGCACCATGTGGATAATTTTTCACATTTCTTCTGGAAAGATATCAAAACCAGGCAAATCTACAGTACTGTCCTTCGTTCCAAAGAGATGTAGCAAATACTGCCCTCTACTGTGGGGATGCTTCGTTTGACTCAGTTATGTTAATGATCAAGTGACAGTATTCAGGTGCTGATTTCAATCATTTTGGTAGAACAATGCTGTTGCTAATTACTTCATCATTATCGTATACATTCTTATTAAAAAATAGAACACAGAAAAAGATGGAAACATTTCAGCCTTGGCCACATACATTTATTATCCTCTGAAGTCTGCATAATCAAATATCATAGTGCTGTGTCTAAAGCATTAATAGAACTGTTTAGATTTCCAATGTTTTGAACTAAGAAAATACCTTGCCCAGTGGGGGAAAAAGAAAGAGTTCTCATAGCATTATTTTAATAAACAAGTTTGTGAAATAATTCTAGCACCAGTTGGGCTGTTTTTCTTCCCTTTGCCATTATTTTTTTTGCAGCATTTGCTAGATTGCTAATATCCAAATTCACAATTTAAAAAAAAACCTGGCTGTTTTTAAAGCTCTAATAATTTCTCTATGATTTTAAAGGGTTAATTATACATGTTTAACAGTGGTGGATCTTGTTTAGCCAAATATCTTTCATACAAAAACTCCTTAAAGAAATATTCAACTAACCAATGAGGGCTAGGAATATGGCTCAGTGGCAGAGCACTTGCCTAGCACATATCCTGCCCTGGGTTCAACCTCCAGTGCTGCAAAACAACAACAAAACACCACTATCCAATGAAATAATTACATATATGCACTCATGTATATATAGCATGCTTTAAAAAATGTCATGTAATATAGCAAGAGCTGTGGAAGACAAAACCTTGTAATTCTAAATGGTCCCATGGCTTCTAATAAAATCTGAAGTCTAAACCTTTCTTTATCTTAATTCAGAAACTTTCAGTACTTACTGCAAGAACTAGCAGGAGAGTCTAGGCAAGCTAGATTCTAGTACATGGTTCACCAGCATCTGCAAAGGCCTATTTCCCCCAGACTTACAAACTGAGGAAACAACCCTGTTTCTTTTAGATTCTAGGCTGCCTCTGACTATTTCTCACACTATAGTACTGAAAATTTAGTCTGCATAAAGCACCTGGATAAGGACTTTCTAATTCTAGAAGTGCTTGGAAGTCTTTGTGTTGGGTTCTGAGCTTCACTTACTCATTCACTGTTTTCATTCTTTTGGTGGAGTTGAATCCAGCTTATCCCATTTCCTACAGGAGCAACTCTCAATTCCCTCTAAATATTAGATATCTATGAAACTATTGGACACCCATTCTAATCAGATGCCAGCTAATTGTTTAACAAATTTTAGTCTGGTTTACTCAATCCCAAGTGGTTAATAAAACCCCACTAATTTTTGACCATCTTGTAAGATACTTTTGCAGTTTTTTTTATTGTACTGAAGATTGAACCCAGAAGTCCTCTACATTGTAGCCACCCTCTCTAACCCTCATTATTTTTTAATTTTTAAAGTTTTGAGATATGCTCTTGTTAAGTTGCCCAAGCTGACCTCAAACTTGAAGACCTCCAGCCTCAGCCTCCTGAGTTATATAGGTGTGTACCATTGCACATGGCTGCTTTTGCAGTTTTTATGCATTGCCTTGGAGCTGTATTAATGCTTACATTCAGTGATGCTTATTAATAATAATGATGTTAATACTAATGATTTTCTACTTCTTCATATTCTTCTAGCATTGTGTTTTTAACTTAGCTCCACATTTTTTTTTTCATTTTGGTTTTCTGTGCTGCAGGCTATGTAAGTCAAACATTTCTATGCCAATTAGAATTTCCCACTCTCTCTCCCTTTAAACAAATTGGAAGTATTCCCAGCACAGTGATTTGCTGTACACTTGTGTCTTGAGGAGTCATCAGTCCACAATCTCCAGAATTAGACATCTCCAGAATTTGGAGATCTCTTTATTGTATATGCAAAGTTAGTCATGCATGTGGACAGTGCATCTTTCTATATTTTGTCATCTTGATTTTTTTGTTAAGTCATTGTTTCTATAAGTGCTCTGTTAAAATATTATTCCCCCATAGACTGCCATACTAACCATTGACAGTAGTTTGTTAAAAATCTGGCAGATTTGGGTAGAACTAGCCTCCTGCTATTGAGACTACATAAGTCAAGCAATACAACATTTCCTCAGCATTCTGAAGAACACTTGAAGGAACATTCATAGGAGTTGGCAATGTTTCCTAGAAGGGTGAGCTATTGCCAAACTAGGTGTTGCAGACTTCGTATTAATGAGATTTCCTATATTAAGGTGTCATCTAACTCTTGGGCAATTACTCACTCTGCAAATAACACATTTCAGGACTCTGATTCTAATTATTCCATTTATTAATTTGGAATTTGACACATATATGTTGTTCTGACATCAACTTATATGATATTTTCAGTTTGTTTTCAGAAGGACACATTCATTCTAATTCCAGCCAAGCATTTTTTTTTTTCCTAAGGTACTTCTCTTTAAGATATGAAAGATTATTCTTTCTGTGTAAACAAGCAAGATGCCACAATACTTGTTTAATGAGGAGTTCTCAGGGTATTACTATAGGGATTTATAAAGTAGAGTCTATATAGATGATGGGTAACCCCATAGGACAGTTTAATCTAGACAAAGCTTGAAATAATGATCCTACTACTTGAGCTGAAATAATAATGGCAGAACAAGCTTTACTGAGGCAGAGGCAAAAGAAACCGAAGCAGACAGTGCATTCATGGATGTTGACGTTCTCCTTGCAGGACAGAAGGCAGAATGGTGGTAACATTTGTTCATTTCACATTGCTGTGGCCTTGAGAAAATCCCCACTCCTGGTACCAGGGTCAGAACCAAATTAGACAGCTGTGCCATTTCTCATACAGGAGAAAAAAAGACGTAAGCAAACTCTTTATTCATAAAAGTTTGTTAGAGAAACTGTGCTACGTATAATCCAGCTGTATATTCTCGGTAATTAAGGAAAACAAATGCTCTTTGCAAACTCATTATAGATTTAAAGTTCTTTAAGTTTCATCAGGTTTCCACAGAAACAAAGAGTTTGAGACAATAGTCGAGAATGCACAAACCATCAAATAAGTAGATTTTAATTGTTCCTATCTAGAAAAATTATTCAGGTAACCAGCTACATCAAAGACTATTAAACTTTTTAATTACTCAGGTAGAAAGATGGAGAATGTCATCATTATCTATCATAAGAAGAATCTGCATTAGATAATGCTACTTGAATTTTGAGCTAGAATAACATACTCAAGGATGCTACTAACTGAAGTGCCATTTAGTACTCAAAAGTAATCATATGCTTTAGTTATTCATAGGGCACAATGCATGAATTCACAATACTAATTATGGTTTCAAAAAGTGTCTTATGCTATGGTTTACTTATATAGGAGTATCAAATGATGCAAAATAAAAGTATAAATATTTGCAGCTGCCATAGATATCATATGCATGGGATGTAGTTGTTTGTGTGGTCAGACTTCTTTCAGGATTTATTAAGTACTTGGTAGTTTTCATTGATTTAGAAGAAGTCTTGATGATAGTATATTCATTTACTAATTATGTATAATGTAAGACTCTATTCCCTGCTTTTGGCTGGGTGCTAGGGACACTGAAGTGAATGAGCTAGTACTGACCCTTCTGGCACTTCTAGTCTTGTATGGTGAAGTAAATGAGGGTACTAGTGGCAGATTTAAATAGATTTGTAGCCCCTCATGTTCTTTAGTACAGTTACATGCTGCTTTACATTGGGATAGTTTCTGGGAACTGCCTGTTTAGGCAGTTTAGTCATGCACAGGGTGGACTTACACAAACCTAGAGGATGTACCTCATACCATGCCTAATCTATATGGTACAACCTGTTGTTCTAAGCTACAAACCTGTTTAGCATGTTACCACACTGAATGCTATAGACAGTTGTGACACAATAGTAAGTATTCATGTGTCTAATATAGGAAAGGTACAGTCAAAATACTAAGGAATAGGAATTTTTACAGTTCCATTGTAATTTTATAGGTCCACTGTTGTATATGTATTCCATTGTTGACCAAAATATTACTATGTGAGGCATGACTGTTTATACATTTATGTTGAGTATTTTACACATTCACTCTTATTAGGGAAGATAAAGAGACTAAATATCTGAAAAATAAAAATACATAATGAATATACTTTATTTGGAATTAGTAAAGATATTTAACATTGTTTCTCTATATCATTCTGTTTTTACTCTTTTTTGTCATAGTATATTTTGTTTCTCCTTTGACAAATCTCAAAAATAAAGATCATCAAACACACCTGTACATCTATCACTCAGTCAAATTAGAACAATTAGTATTTTTATATATTTTCTTATGCCTTTTTTTTTACATAAAAACATTGAGCAAAACATATGTCTTAATACAATTATAACTTCACATTATGGTTTTTTGTTTAGCTTTATATCACAAGCCTGCTTTCAGATCATAAAATATTTTTCATGAATACCATTATTTGTTGGCAACATATTATTCTATTATGTCAATATGCCTAACTTACTGACTCATTTATCTGTTGTTAGGTATTAAGCTTCCTTTTAGGTGACATAGTCATAAATATCCTATATACATTATAGCCTTTGATAAAATTTCTGATCACTTATTCCTGATTGATTTCTAGAAGTGGAATTCTGGGTTAAGTTTACAACATTTTTTTTTTTTTACATCCTGATTTTTTTTTTTTTTATTGGTGCATTACAGTTAAGCTTACAACATTTTTTAGGCTCTTAATACAGTCCAATAAATTGTTTTCTGGAACAAGTGAACACATTCACTCTTCCAGGAGAAATGGATGCCTCGTTATATGCTTCCTGGCATTGAAA